CGCACAGGTGGAGAATTGTTTTACAGCAGTCACTGGAAGCGAATTTGCGGGCCCGAGGCTTTTGATGTAACTACAAAACAGGGGTTTAAAAGAGGGCAGCACCAAACTTACGGTCTGGGATATTTCCAACACATCGATAACGGGCAGCCCAGTTGCAATTGATGAAACGCCAGGATTTGGCCACGTAGACAGCCAGCCAGGTGTTTCGAAAGAGGGAGTTTTCGCTAAGAGTCATTCCAGGCCGGTAACCAGCTCCCTTGGACCTTCCCGAGATGAAGTGACATGGAATACCAGCAAACCTAGAAGAATGCAGAAGAGGGTGGATAAATGCGGGGATAGAGCTTGGCAACAACGAAAATTAGATTGTCGTTAACGACGAGGTCCACCGTGGGCGCGGGTAGAGTGACGTGCGTGTTATTTAGTTTATATTGATACTATACTGACACGTAGCACCTGAGACATTGGCTCTTTCCCTATGCACTTGGGCCCGGTGCCCCACTAAGTACAAAAGATGGGAGGCGAGAAGGTAGGTGTCTGGCGCAATGAGAACCTGTACCTAGGCGTTCCCTAATTCGCAATGGAGGAATAAGAGGACGGAGTGCGCCCCGGGTATCGAGACAGAAGGACGGAACCCGGCCGGAATCCACTATGTTTTGCTTGTTTTTCCAAAACAAGGGTCGACTACAGACCACGGACACGTCGAGCGTCATTCGGCATGTCAACTGTATAAACTGTCAAGCTAGCTACTGCGGCACGACCGATATGCGACTGAGAATGCACATACACGAGCATACTTTAGCCGTAAAGCGAAAGCATGTACGATCACATATCGCCATACAGTCTAGAAAACAATAATCAATTCGACTCCCACAATGTCCAGGTGCTCGGCCGAGCTATATCCTTGCCTGGAGCCGTCTTTCCAGCGGGCACAAATACGTGGCTCGGGGTAGTGAGTGTTCGTCAGGGATTCCGTTGATAGGTAAAAAGCGATGTCTGCAAAAACTTTCCACCAGCTGAGTTAAGGGGATGTGAATCATTAAGCTTCACAAATTGATCGATTAGTAATATCCAGCAAAACACCTCTTACAGAGTTTATGGGTGTTGAAATAAAATTTTCTTAAATACTAAACAAACACATTTAGCTAAATGAACAATAGCCAGTGTTGTCGAGCTTAAAATTCAAGAAAAGAACGTGTTGCCAGGTCACAGCCACAGCATGGACGACGCGCCAAAACAACAACAACAGCAACAACTACAATTTTAAGTTGCTATCAACACGCCCTTACGACTAACCAATCGGATTATTTATTTTTGTTTGTATTTTTCACGGCCTGTTCTGTGTATTCGGTCCCATGGAAAGCCAACAGGGTTTTTGGCGAAGGCTGCTGGCATAAAAATAAGCCCCACCCGCTCCGAATGTTCTGTTCTCGCCAAAAACCAGAGACTAGCCAGTCAGAATTTTGCGGGGGGTGGAGGTGGCGTATAAAACACCCTGCCCCCGAAAAAAAAACGCACTTCAGTCTGCAGGTAAAATGTCGTCAGAACAAAATATAGTATACCTGGCCTGAGCAGCACTTTTCTCTCTCTTTCAGTTTAAACTCAAATAAGAGGCTGGATTTCTGGCGCGTGAAAAAGAAATGGCCCGGTGGCCATGCGCAAGGCGTGACTGCAGTTAAACGGAAATGATCAAGTCTGTTTCACTTCTTCGTCTCTTTTTTTCGTCAGTAATACTTTTCAAATTATGCTCTAGCCGAAAATGCACAAACACAGGAAGTGGCCTGCTCAAACTGGGCGCCGACCACCACCATGCGAATTCCGAATTCTCACCAAAACGTGGGGCTTGACCGCGATGATCCAGTCTAATAAAGTGTATGCTCATTTGACGCAGTAGTTGTGAAAAATTCGCCGATCGCGCTGGTGGGATTCGAACCCACGAAGGCCACCTAACGTGCTAATACACCTGAGCTACGAGGACACCACCGGCGGGAGCCGTGAATTTAATTACACTTGAGTCAAGTTACTCACGCGGCTTACTGTAACGTATGCAATCCACTAATTATGATACAGTGCACAGGTTGCTCATGCAAGATTCCCCAAACAAGCAATCTAGCATCCACAAGATGACTACCAGACGCAATTAATTAATACTTGTTTTGGAAGGCTTTAATAATTAATCTGGCCTAATTTTGACATTCAACATTCAACACGCGTATCAAACAGCACGTCTTGCTAGGTATGCTCCGACAGGGAGCGTCATAAAGGCCACATTAAAAAGGAACCATTAAATCTGACCCTCAGCCTGCAGACAGCCACACCGAACAACAAGACACACACTGGGCCGACTGCGGTGTCCGAGTTAACCCGCCAGCTGGCAACCCTCCAAGCCACGGCTTTTAGCGCACCACGATAGATTCAAGCGCATCGGATTCATTATACAGTAGTCGCCGGTTATTAAGCCCACCTCGGGCCCACGCCAAATTGGGCATAATAAGCGGCTGGGACTATTAACCATGGGCTTAATAACCGGCGACTACTGTAGTGAAGAAACGCGCCGAGGGTCGACCTTACTCTCTCCTCCACTGCCAGCAACAGACAACCGCCTACCTGTCGGCCACCTGAGGTGGGATGGGCGCAACGCTGAAAAGGAAAACAAGCGAAGTAACGTT